TACTGACAGGTCGCGCTCTGAGACACCGGAAGTAATCGTCGCTTTTGGTGACGCTGCATTAGACCTCAAGACATGGACCGGTCTAGTGAGTAGATTCCTTTACAAAACGCCGAATTGAATGTCATTTATGTGCATCTTTGGTTTTATTCATGTCGTGTAAGCTTTTGTTGAAATGCAGGTTTTAGCGTTGGTGGAAAAATACCGCTCTGTGCTCGCAGTGTGCCGTTTCCTACTGACGTTAGCTTGCTGGCTCGTAGCTAGACCTGCACGAGCGAGCGTTACATGAATGAATGAATTGTATGTTGAGAAGCTATTATAAAAATGTATTATTCTGTTTATTATATATTTAATTTTGTGTTTATGAATTCACCTTTCAAACAGCAGCCGGCGTCAGATTACTTAGTCCATGCTGTGTGTCCGCAGGGCTGTTCGGGTTGTTCCTTCTCAGCCTGGCTCTTTCCGGAGCTCAGGCGCTCACACCGTCACATTACCTCTCCCTGTCTGATGTGGCCCGACTGCAGAACCTCCTGAGCCAGCAGTTCACTGACCTGGAGTCCGCATACTACTCAGTTGTAGGTCTGACCAAGCTGGGAGCGACAGTTCCCGATCACGAAGTGAGAAAAACAGCCCTTCATTATTTGCATATGTAATATATGGACTCTAGACTCCCATCGGTCTTCACTATGTGGCTGTTTTGCATTTGTTTGTTTTTAGGATGTGTGCCAGTTTGTGAAATCTCAGCTTGATTCCACTAGTGTTGATTCACTCTTCTTTGCTGCTGAGATCAGTCGTGCCATTTCAGGATGTGAGGTATAAAAATATTTCATGGTGTCTCTCTGTCTGTTATCTCTTCTTTCTGTTAGAGATAAGTGTAACAGAAATGCATGAGTTACATTTGTGTGCTTTGTTTTTGTTTTTAACTCTTTAGATCCCTGTGTCCAACGAAACCCGCGACCTCCTCCTGGCTGCAGTCAGTGAAGATTCGACCATGACTCAGATTCATCGGGCTGTGACTGCTCTCAGCTCTCTTGGGCTTCCTCTTGCTTCCCAGGAAGTTGTAGGTTCCTTGACAGCCCGGATCAACAAAGAGGATAATGTTATGGCGTAAGTGTTAGATGCTTTTCAGTTGTCATTACCAAAAAAATACAATAAAAATAAAGAGAGTCTATGCATCTTATTTTACAATAAATGGGTGTTCTCTTTGGACAGCATCACCATGGCTCTGCAAACAGCATCCCAGCTTTCCCAGCAGGCAGAGCTCGGAGGAATACTGGAAGAAATTGAGGTGAACTTTAAAACTACCACCAGATGGTGCTGTCTCACTATTTTTTTGATTTATAGCAAGAAATCCTATATCTTCAAAACGGGCCCTATTGTATTTACTTATGGTTTTATATTTTTATTCTTTGACCCTAAAAGGATTGGTTTGCATGATGTAAAGCTGCAAATGATCCACATTTGTGTTGCACTAGGCCTTGGGACAGCCTTTTTGTTCAAATGAGGCATTTTAGCTTCCTTCTGGTTGGCTTCTTTTTACAGTCACAAGGTGTGAACAACAGATGAGCTGAGCAAGTCAGTGACAGTAAGGAGTCAGGAGTAAAAAAAACCTCTGAAGTCTGAACTTTTGACTCCGAGGTGTTACTTGTACATATGCTGACCTTGGCTTTGTTTAATAAGAGTATCTATCACTGCAACAATATGCACGACAGAAATTAAGGTAAATTCTAACTCCCCTTCTGATGGCTTTTCCCTTCCAGGATCTGACAGCTCGCTTGGATGACCTCGGTGGCCTCTACCTCCAGTTTGAAGAGGGACTCGAAGCAACCGCCATGTTTGTGACCGCTGCTTATTCCCTGTCAGATCACATGGACATGGAGCCTCCTATCAAAGAGGTCTGATATCTGTTTGTGAGGTGCTGTATAGGGATGGGTACCGGTGTCCGGTGCCATTCTGACATAAACGGTAGTAACCAGACCGAAAAGCAGCGCACATTTCGGTGCTTTATTTCGGTGCTTTTTTTTCCTGAGCTGTGATACACTTTAGA